AAACATCCTGAGACAAGGCCATATGGTTCTTTCATTGTTTAACATTGCATTTTAATTCAGCTTAGAGGAATCAGCTCAGAGTCAGTAACTGCTCAGTACGGGTTTAACCTCTTTATTCAGCTTTATGCAGAAAAAGATTTGGTGCAGATGGGGAACAATAAGCCTGATGATGAGAAAACAGATTTATTACTCTCCCTCCTGTCTCATGTCTCTATCATGAAGGTGACACGCTTCACGTGCCAGGTCACATGGGAACAGCACATGATGCACCCTGTGTGTCACATGGCACGGGAAAGGCTGAGTGGCTGCTCTATTTCACGGCAAGCAGGGAAAGCATCCTTACCAAGGCTGTGAACAAAAAAATTGCATATTGGAAGCTTCTTGATAGCTGTTCTGAAAAGCTGGTGAGGTATGCGTTTCAGTCGCTTGTCAGGTAGACCCATCAGTTCTCCGTTGGACCATATTCTGAAGCTACGATTCAGTCCAGTGAAAACCACACAAATCTACGATTACTCCTATACAAAGCAAAATGGCTTTTAATATCCTTAGACACGGCAGTTCTGCACTGAGCCAAAGCACTCACCTTCTGGCGGGATGAACATGTTTAACCTTCTATTTTCTTCACAGTTTCAAATACAGATTTAGAGGTGAAAAAAAGAGCAAGAAAATTGAACAAAAAGCAAAGAATCCTAGTCTGAATGGGTACATATTTGCCCATCTTACACAATCAGCAACAATCATAAATAACCTTTATTTTACAGTTTATTCCTTTGTGAATGCTACTTGACAGGCTAGAATGATTATGAAACAAATTTGCTTATTGTGTCTTCCATCAGAGTACAAGTTCTAGAATGATGTATGCATTTATCAGTGATAGCTTCTTTAGTCAGGGAGGGAAGAAGAGGTGAAAACGAAGATTTTATAACTTTATAACATACAAGATCCACAACCCTTTCTCTGACTGATCCTTGAGTTCAATTAGGCTGGAGCATCGTACTCCAGCAAGTATGATGTACTTGGTGGAGGGAAGGCCTGTACTAGAAGCCAACGGCTTCAAGGTCTTAACAACCCCCACAACGTGTTTATCTAATGATAATACTCAAACTAATTTTACTGGGTAGCCAAAGCTGTATGTGCAGAAAAATAAATATCTGAATTAAAACATTAAACAGACAATTCAGTTATAGTGCCTGCTTGCAATGTACTGCTTTGCAAGTATTTACTACATAAACTGCTGTAAGTATCTAAATAAAAGAGATATTTTGGTGATAGGAAGTATTTTTAAATTACAAGATCACAAAGCATTAGAGGATCACAAAGGCAACTTCACTGCTTGAAAACAGATTTTAAAGGACTTCATAAAGTCTGAAACAGCTTATTTACCTGTCAATTTAGTGTGTAACTTAATATATTAATGTGAACATAAAATCACTCAGTAAATTCTTGACAGAAGTCACACTATACTTGATTTTTACAATCTGTCAATGACTGTAAATTAATATGTATAGCAATTATGCTACTGCACTGCTTGGGAGATAGTAATTCAGCTCACATATTTTCCAGAGTCTCCTACTGACACTGAGAAAGTTGCGTAATTTCTCTCTTGTTCACCTCACATCTCCAAATTAGCACAGGGATTGCCTCTTTCTTTCTGCCTCTGAAGTACCGTGCACATTGGGACTTCCGAGTAACTACTGTAATATGAATTACTAATCTAGAATCTAGACTATTCCAACTTGGCCAGGAAAAAAACCTGCAGGGACTGCGTAAGTCTGCTCCTGGAAGAATGAATCACTACTTCTTCCTGAGAGGAAGCTGCCAACAGCTCTTGCGGGGGACGCACACCAACAAAACGCGCTTTATTCTGATGTCTGCTAAAGAAATCTCTTCCAGACTGTACTCGCTTGGCTGACAACTGCCTCACTGAGATCACTTCTCCTACGCCACTGCACCTCACCTATGCTAAGCGTAATGATAAAAATATCTCAGCCAGGGACCATGGCCAGATGCCTGGTGACTTACAGATGACTCAGAGCTCTGGTGGCCTCTGACACTGTGGAGCATGTGAAATCCCTGACACAGCTGCATGACCTGGCTCAGAGAGAGAAATGCCTTAGCGTGGTTCCACTGATTCCTCACTGAGTGTTCCCAGATGGTAGCAGATGGCTATTCCTTCTGCGAAGGGTTCCCAGATGCAGTATGCAAGAGCGCTCGGTGCTGAGTACCTTTTCTATCCAACATCTGTACAGAGGCTGTGGGAATGATCATGATGCAGTGTATGGACTGCAGTGTTACTAATACTAATGCTACTTTATCTTTTCTTTCAACCTGGGAATTACAACTGACCTCTGACACCTCTAATAATGAGAACATACTGAGAGAGAGATGAAAACCAGTTTGATGAAGCTCAAGTCCAAACACATAAAGATGACATGAATTAGAGGAGAAAGCCTTTGGAGGATACAATGAATCAAAGAATGAATGTAGCAGCTTCTGGGTTGGATTAGAGAAGTCCAGGGAATAGAGAGGTTCATTTTGATAAGCAGCGTTCCCAGACAGACCCTTAAGTTTGCAAGAGGCAGAGCCCAGCAGTCCTTCTGCCCTTTCTGCCTTTCGTTGCCTCAGCACACACCTTGCCTCCAAGATGCGAGCACGGGATGCGTTCATGCTGACCCTTCATCTGTTTGGGAATCTTGTGTCTTGAGGAGCCCCAGCAAAGTTTGCTGACGGTTTTCACATCCCTTGGTCAACACAAGTGGCTGAAAGAGATTGTTTGCCTCGGAGCATTTACCGTGATGTTTGTACTTTGGGAAGAAACACGTTTTGCTTTCTGACCTTAAGAAGACTGGAGTTACTCAGTGTTTCTCAACATTTACGCAGCGATAGTTGCTTTTGACAATTTGCCCGTTTTCCCGCGGGTCACAGCTTTTCACAAAGTCTGCATTTCTCTCATAAAACTATAACCCCAGGCAAAATCAAGAAGTCCCTCTCCTTACCCGGCTTTCCAGGCCTCCTGTGTGAGTACGCACCCCCAAGAAAGGCACGGCTTTCCTTCGCAGGGTATCGCCAAGCCATTTAAGGCTGCTTAGA